CTCTGATGCAAATGCCCGGATTGGCAGTGAACCCACTGGCCATGTAGGGGATCACCAGGCGGAAGCTTTTGACCCTAAAGCCGAAGGCTTTTTGTCATTCCTTAGCCAACAAGGGCTTTGGGTACCCGCCACATTCTCTCAATTTCATCAGGGATTAGGTATGACTTGGAGACATGCAAGAGGGCAGTGGTTCCGGAATGATTATGTGTGTATTCCAACCTGTTGGCAGTTACAACACTGTGCTTCCTGGATTAACTTAGATATTGAGGTCGGCCTTGCTAAGGAAGATCATCGTGCTGCAGTTGTACACCTGAGCCGCGTTGTTTGTACTGATGTTGCACCGCATCAAAACCAGCATCCTAAACTGTGTCTCGGTGATTTTGACCCTAATGTCCTTAGTGGGCTTTCTGCGCCACATTGGGGAATTGATGTGCACACCCATGCCCAAACTCTCCAACATGACCTTGTTCATGAGTTATGGGAATATCGTGAGCGCAAACAGGCCAAAGTCCAGCGGGCCATCATGTCGGATTCCACTTGGCAACTAGTTCTAGAAAAACGGGACTCCAGGAACCTGTTACATGAGCGCTCTAGGGCTCAACGACAAACCATTTTGGAAGCCTGGTTTGCCTGTTGGAGACATGCTTGTTTTGATTGCCCTCTTGATGCACTTGCACCTGCTTTTGATTGCCTTCTTGCTGAACAGGATAGACTAATAGCTCTTGCATACCATCAATTCCGCAGACTTGGAATTCAGGTTTCCAGGGCCCTTAGAACTGACGATGTTGATTTCTATACTGGCTTGCTTCGTGAATGTACCGATTTCTTGCGCCCACGGGATGTTAAGCATTTGTGGCGTGTGGTTCGTCGCTCACTACCGAAATTCCAACAGAGGCGACTTTCAGCACACCCGGCCCAATTGGCCTCATTAGAGGACCAATGGCTTCCACATTATGCTGAATTGGAAGCAGGAATTCCCATTACACCTGCCAAACTTGTTCAGGATTGTGCATTCGAACAAGCCTTACGTAGAATTGATGCACCGTTGCAGCTGAATTTGACTGACCTACCTAGCCTTACGCAACTTGAGCGGGCATTTCGATCTTGCACCGCTGGCAAGGCTACCGGGTTTGATCCCTTACCCTCTATGCTCTTCCACTCTGCGCCTGCCCAACTTGCTGCTTTGTACCATGATTTAGCCTTGAAGGAGTATGTTTGGCAATGTGAACCGATGCAGGACAAAGGGGGCCCAGTTGCCCTTATCCCTAAGACTCTGCACCCCCAGACAGCTAAGCAGTTTCGAGGGATCCTTCTCCTACCGAGCGTCGGGAAGCGCACTCATGCCATCCTAAGGACACAAATCATGGACAAACTTGCCTATGTCCGAGCACCTGGCCAGCTTGGTGGTTTCCCGGGGCAGCAAGTGATTTATGGATCACATGCCTTGCGAACATTTGGCACTTTATGTGATAATGCTGGTCTTAGTTGCGCTGTCCTATTTTTGGATCTAGCTAGTGCTTTTCATCATCTTGTGCGGGAGAGTGTTGTTGGAGCATGGGATGGGAGCCATCTTGAACCAGTTCTGGCTGTTTTGCAACAATCAGGACATGCTGAGTCGAACTTTCGGTGTTTTGCCAAGCTTCCTGGGCTCCTCTCGGAGATTGGCATCGCTGAGCCAATTGTCCGATTGTTACGTGATATCCATATTGGGACTTGGTGTGCTATTCATGAACGATGGCTACTTCGTACCCATCGTGGGACACGGCCGGGGAGCCCTCTGGCGGATATCATATTCCATGCACTTATGGTGCGAGTTGCCCAGTCGATTGATGAATGGATTGGAGCACAAGCCGATTTTGTTGCGCTTCTGCGAGAATTGGATATTGATGTCCCAACCATTTTATGGGCTGATGATATTGCAATACCGCTTGCCACTCGGAAGGCTGTCGACCTGATCCCATTTTTGAAGGAAGCCTTGCAGCATGTTCGCAATACTTTGCGCTGCCATGGTTTTACTCTCAATTTCTCTAAGGGAAAGACTAGTGCAGTCTTGACGTTGAAGGGAGCTGGATCAGGGGAGTTGCGCAAGCAATACCAGCTGCATGCCAATCCAGGGGTTTACTGCACTTTCGAGGATGGCCTAACCGAATGGTTACATTTTGTGCCTTCTTATAGACATTTAGGCACATTGTTTGCTTCCAACCATGCGCTGCAGTGTGAACTGCACTCTCGAGTGGGTATGGCTAAGTCGGCATTTGCTCAATTGGCCAAACCTATTTTGACCAACAAATTCATGCCTTCCAAGCTGAGGTTGCAATTATTCCAGTCTCTCATTACTACGAAACTCTTTTTCGGTTTAGGGGCCTGGACGACCCCAACTCCGAAGCAACTTCAATACCTGCAGGGAACGTTGATTGCCATGCTAAGAAAGGTCCTGCGCATTGGTCAGGAGCGTCTCCCAGCTGATCAAATTCTGAAGTTGGCTAATACTGCCGAGGTTCGCTCTAGGCTTGCAGTTGAGAGGTTGTTATATGCGCAAAGGTTGTTCCGTACAGGGCCACCTTTCTTGCACCATTTGCTCCAGATCGAGTTTGCACAGTTAGAACACTCATGGATGCATGGATTAAAAGCAGATCTCGCTTGGATGGAAGAAGTTTGCCCCTGCTGTTTGCTGGAGGGGTGGCGAGATGACCTGACTGGCCTCATTGACTGGTGGCAAGAACCCACACAGCGTTGGACTCAGCTTGTCAAGAGGGTTTGGAAGTTGCACTTAGCACAAACTGCTATCATTGCGGATGCGAAGATGCTACATGCTGGGATATTTCGAAATTTGCGTGCAGCCGGGGCCACATTCGATGCATTGTTTGAAGACCTTTGCGACTGGGATGAGCGATTTGATTGCTTTTGCGGTTGTGTTTTCTCTACAAAGCGTGGCCTCCTGGCACATCAACGCAAGGCACATGCCCTTTTCTCTGCTGAACATCAGTTTTTGCAAGGATGTACGTGTTTACACTGTGGTAAGTACCTGTGGTCTACCCAGCGTTTACAGCAGCATCTAGCCTACATCCCGAAGACATTAGGGTATAACCCATGCTTCCATGCGTTGCAATCCCAAGCTCGACAGGTTCCCTATTGTAAGGTAGATGAGGGGCGTAATACCTCATTTGCTGGTCTACATCGCCGTGAATGCCTCCAAACTGAAGGCCCAGCAGTTAGTCCTTGCACCACACAAGACATTCAACGTGTGGCCACACAAATTGCATTGGATGATTGCAATAGGAAGTTGACAATTCTTCATCAGCCGTCAGATCCAGTTGCAGAAGGAGAGCGAATTGGGGAGGAGCTTACCCAAGCTACCTCCAAATGGTTCCAGAGGTTCTACCCGCAAGGACCTACAGAAGAGGAAAAGAACCTGTTGGCTGATGCATGGGTTGAAGTGTTATGTGCAAGATGCTTCACCTCAGACGTTGACCTTGACCCTTGGTTGGAGATGGTTTTCCTGCTTTGGGGGGAACATTGGATGCCCGACCTGCTTGACTCTCTTGAAGATGGCGTTGCGGAGTCGGATATTGATCATTTGTTTGCCGATTTTGCAGCCCAATTAGATAGAGACCGGTTGCTGGCACAGCGGGCCCACCTTACCTACAAGTTAGGGCTATGTGCACCTTTGGATCCGAAGGCGCACCGCTCTCAAGCACCGGCAGACAAACCGAAATGTCCTAAAGCCAATTGCAGGATTGTCCAAGAGGTCCCGAGGCCCTTTGCAGATCAAGTTCAATGGCAGCAGCGCATAAGACAGATGCGTTTTTTGGATCTACCTTCTCTTAGAGCTTGTCCCAAGTTGTTATTGCCCAATGGTGAAGAGGCTTTCTTGGTGATACATCTCTTTAGTGGAAGGAGGAGACCGAACGATGTCCATGACGCTCTCCATGAATTTGCGGCCTCCCGACAATTTAAGCTGATTGTCTTATCGCTTGATACAGCAGTCTCAAGTGAGTTTGGCAATTTGGCACTTGACAGCGCTTCATGGAGAATTCTGGAGCAGATTTACGCAATGGGTGCTGTAGGAGCCACGCTTGTCGGTTCCCCCTGCGAGACGTTTAGCGAAGCCAGATTTATGATTCCAGAGGATGCACCACCTGGTTCAACTCTGCCTAGGCCACTTAGGTCTGCGTTACGTCTCTTGGGATTAGAAGGACTTACCGCACGTGAACTTCGACAGTGTCATTTAGGAGGAAATTTTTTCCAACAAGGTGCATTAGTTCTCTCCTATCATATGCAATTTGGAGGGTGTTTCGTTTCAGAACACCCTGCAAAGCCTAGTGATGACACGAGGCCCAGCATCTGGACTAGCGCCATTTTGCAGGTGCTCCTGAAGCACCCGGAAGCCAAGCTGTCACACATCTGTCAGTTCAAGTGGGGTGCGACCGTCACCAAACCAACAGGACTTTTACATTACCAGATGCCGAATTTTTGCAAAGACCTGTATCAACATGCTGATACCACTGCCTTGAGGCCACAAGCGGTCGCGATTGGCCGCGATGCCACTGGACAATTTAAAACGGCTAGGCATAAGGAGTATCCTGAACGTTTTTGCAAAGGTCTTGCTTTCACCATTTCACAAGCGTTGGCTGCTGCCACCCGGAAGCATGCAGTCCAACCAGTGATTTTGCCCGATAACCTGCTGAGCTGGGTCCACGGAGCTGCAAAAGCCAGTTCGTTTGTATTTCGCCAGTCGTGGATGCCGGACTACCAGGGAACTTAGGGCTGTCTTTTGTATGTTAATTAGAGAATGTTGCATGTGGCAGCAAAGGCACAGACCTTTTCGTGCATCGAAAAAAAAAACTAACATCAACTATATCAACTATATCAACTAACAGCGACAATATGTACACACTCTGCAGACCATGGCGTCATGGACTCACGTTTTCACGGAGTGACCAATGGATCAAATGGATCCAATGGCAACTTCGAACACGAAGCTCTCAGGGACTCCAGGCCGTTGCAATCCACATGCCATCGATCTACGCGGACCTTTTCCAGGGGGAAATTTTCTACATAGGAAAGACATGGAAAGACCAGGAGGAAACATCCAGATATCAAGTCAGAGCTTTTCAGGATGGGACAAGCTGGAAGTCTCTTACCTCATCTTCCACATCCTCAAAGGCTCCAATGTGGGACTCGTGTTTTCTGATTCTGGAGCTAACCGCAACTACTAGCAACAAATACTTTGGCACACGCAATAGGCGGCACTTCGCTTCGGTCAAGCATCCGAAACTTCTCTTGAGACTGCATCCACAAACCTGAGGAAAAAGTCCGCATACATACGGCGCCTAAACCCAATTCTCAAAATCAATGAACAAGATTCAAATAGTAATAAAAGAAACAAAATACATTTGACTCTCGACACAGTCTCTTTGAAATGTGTCGAGATTCCAGGCTTCCGGCCGAGCACTTAGCGCCAGGACAGGCCCACCACCCGCACGTGGAGCTCGCGCAGGCCACGGACGCGTAGGTACCAATAGTGTGGGGTCCTTGGCAAGTTGTTCCAAGGTTGTTCCAAGGTTGTTCCAAGGTTGTTCCAAGGTTGTTCCAAGGTTGTTCCAAGTTCAAGCATGATAAACATTGATAAACTGTGAGAGGTGCGAGATCATCCTCACCCTTCATCTCATTCTGAAGGTGTAAGATGTGTAAGCATGATGAATGTGTCCACAAACAAATCAATGCCTGTCTCAACGAAGTCTTGTTTCATCACACTGCTGTGGTTTCATGAAAGAGCTCTTGGACCACACCTAACCTCTTGACCCCTCTTAAATGTCCATATCAAATCATATCAGAAGCAATGATATCATATTTATGTACACATATACATCATTATACATATATATATATAGAGAGAGAGATAGATAGACAGATAGATTGATAGATAGATAGATAGATTGATTGATAGATAGATATCAATAGCCTACTGCATCTTCTTTCCTGTGGCTTCCGTTCCGGTTTTTTTTAATCTCCAAGGCGCTCCGAGCTGCAGCTGGCACCGCGGTCGGCCCCGGGTGTAGAGAAGCGCCTTGCCCGGTCCGGGGAAAACTCGTGAAAACCAGAGAACTTCATGAAAATATTATATATATATATAATTATATACATACATACGTAAGATATGAAATATCTTGAAACAGGCTGAAACATGATGAAACCAAGTCTTGTGACTGTCGCAGTGACTCTCGCAGACCCGAACCTTAGCACGTCGGCGCCAGCGGTCGAAGCCACGGCGTGGCCTTGGATGGAACACTGTCGTCCAAACACGGTCGTGGGTCGCAACGTTCGACATCCGACATCCTGTCAGAAGTTCGCGGCTTTCCAACGGTGAAGTCGGCTGCAAGGAAGTTGGTAACCTGACAAATTCAAAGTAATTTGAAGGGATCAAGACATATCAAAACCAATCAAAATCTTGCAGTTGTTTTCATTGCTGTCGGAGCCTGCTGAAACAGTTCTTGCTGGTAGAAGAGGACCAAATTCTGAGCCTTCCAAAGTTTGTAAAGTCCAAAGTAGCAACGAAGTACGACCACGCAAAGGCAAGAGAAACCAAAAGGATCCAAAAGGCCATTGAATTGACAGAGTGAATGCCACAGAACATAGTATTTCACAGGATATGAGACATGCCAAGATCTTCTGTGCCACAAGATGTATATAAATTGAATATAGCCTGTAAGCATATATATAGATATGCTATATATGGAGTTTGTTGGACAATCCAGTGGCTGAGCAAAATCTCTGCGAAACAGCGTGCCTTTATGGAAATCAAGGGCTGGCCTTCCCTCAGATCATTGAGTGGTGGGTCTTGAAAAAATTGTTTGAAATCTGAGGAAGAATTGTGAAATCATTTCCAGGCATAGACTCCGCGCGGAATCGGAACCCGGAGGAGTACAAAGGTACGGTATTTTACCGTACTTTTGTACTCCTGGCTCCGTTCTATAATTCTGGCACCACCTGTACATCTACATAAGCAACATGATACAATTCATAGAATCATAATCCATCATCAATGTTGTATATATATAATGTATGTATATATTGATGTATTTATACATACATATTACATTGACATAATCATTTAAAAGAAGATAAAAATATGTTCAAACTCGAAAAAGTCCCTGGGTCCGTCAGATTCAGCTAAGAGGCGAGTCCCGGGAGATGTACTCCACGGACATCACCTGGAAATGCAGAGGTTTCCATCGATTCGACCAACAACCAGATCAACCAGTCTAGGGCATCAAATCCATAAATTTCATCTTTGCAGGTGCTGAGGGGCATTCTGGATTCATTCAAGTGGACAAAAAAAACAAAATGACGCTGATCACCGCTGGTGTCTCGAAGATTCTCGGGCCGTCTGTGCCTCTCCAGTTAAGAACGATTCCGAACGGAATGCGAATTTTGGCATTCACCATCTAAATTTCCAGAATAATGTGAAGTCCTACCACTCACCAGTCTTTTAAATATCTCTAAATGGTCTTTGTTGCTTTGTTGCTTTTGTTGCTTGGCACGAGGCGGCACTAAATTTAGTTCATGTCGATCCACGGCACCTTCTCCAAGTGACCCGAATGCAGGAGATACGTGTCTACCTCGGCATTCGCTTCTCAGCTCGGCCATAATCGGAGCAGAGAAACATCATAGAACTATACAGACTATACAGACTGTATAATATTATAGAAACATATAGAAATCATATAGATACATAATATACATATATATATATACGTATATACATACATATAATATCAATGAATATTATATAATATCAATGTTAGAATTAATTAGATACATATAGAGCCGCAATTTGAAACTATGAAAACAACGTGGGAACTGCAGATTTGGTGGAAGACTTCTTGCAAACCCAGTGTTTCCATGTTGTTCCGACGTTGTTCTAATGTTGTCTCATCTCTGTGTCATCTCTGTGTCATCCCATCGGTGTGCCACAGTGTGCAACCACGCGGCTGGCGTCTTGTGCCTTGAACAGCGCACCAAGAGCTGCAGATCTGCCACCTGCGAGACGCTGGTCCCAAATATCTCACCGGTTTGTCCAATGATTCCTATGATTCTGCGATGTGGGTCTCAGCCTATCTTATGATTTCATGGGATTTTGCCATTATTTCTTCACTCAGCTCTGAACTTTGCGAGTGTTCTGAAGAAACCGCATTTCAACACCCTATCACCAGCTTTGCCTCGGCTTTGGTGTTCAACTCGTCGCCAGCCAGTAATTTCAGTCGCAGCGACTTTGCGAAGCCTCAGGGATCTTGCAGTCAAAAGTAGTCAAAAGTAGTCAAAAGTAGTCAAAAGTAGTCAAAAGTCAAAGCAAAACAGAGCCAGTGCTTGTTCAACATCGAGCTTCAAAATCATAACTAAATCAAACAAGTCACCAATGGTCTTGACGTGTTTTTGCGTCTGGATCTCCACGTTTACCTTTGCAGAGGGTCAGATTCAAGCAGCAAAGGCAACAAAAAGTTTTGCAGATGTTTTCGCTTCAGTGGCATTGACACTCCAAATGAAAAAGCAAATGCAGCATGCAGCATGCAAGGTACAGATGTGAACACACGATATGACAATTTTGTGACACGCATTCGAAGATTTGCAGCATGCGCAGCGCATGCGCAACATGACATGCTTGGAACGCCTCCGGCAGCTCCAGTGCCAGGCGCAGCAGTGGAACTTCGTCGATGGGTGCGACCACCTACCACGAAACGACAGCGATGTCGGCGATGTCGACACAACGATCGCGAGAAATCGCGAGAAAAGAGCAAAAAAGAACAAAAAGAGCAAAATCCCAAAGAATTCGAATGCAAAAGAAAAGCAGTGATCTCAAACTCGTCACAGTAGAAAGATGTAGAAAGGACATGTTCTGAAACAAAGACCACAGAAGTTCGACATTGTCAGATGTCCAAACAATGCCAAAGAATCATCAGTTCAACCTGACTTTGGGCCTTGGTGAAGGCGACCGGTCTTGGCTGCTGTCCCTACCACGAGTGAAGTCTCCGTTGAGACGCTACACAATGCCAGAGTTGTAGAGCGAGGTTTTCGTCCAGGAAAGGCTAGAAAAGGCTTGGCTCTTGGGTCGCATGTTAATAGCATAACTGCGGATTCAATATAAAACCGCTCCACTGTGGAGCAATTTTGCTGCACTTCATATTATCAATTGTCAATGAGCAGACCCAACTTTCGTTTCAGAAACTCGCAAATGGATGCATGTGGTAGTCCAACGGTCATTCTTTTCACTCTGGAATCGCAACTCTCTGAAGCGGTATAATGTGTATAGTGTACAGCGTGCTGTGCCTCCAAAATCTAGTCGTGCTCCTACCCCCCAAGGTGCCACTAGCTCTTTTGGCTACAGCTCCATGGCCTAACATGGCCTCAGATCTGACTCTTGAGAGCCGCAACAGGAGATGCCTTCACGACAGTCTTTGCAGGCTGGGCCTTCACCATGACTTCCTTGCCGAACATCAACTTCTTGCCTGCTTTTGTGGCTGGCTTCTGCCTGGTCTTGATCATGCAGAGCCCTGGAAGAATGAACTTGCCAGACTTCTTCACCTCCTCAGTTCCGATCTCGGTCAAAGAGTTCAGGATCTTGCCCACGTCGCCCTTCTTGAGTTCGGTGGCATCGGCCAAAGCAGCCAAAAGGCTTCCCTTGGTCATGGCCTTCTGACCCTTGGTCTTCATCGCACTGTTCACCTTCTTGGCCTTGGTCGCCTTCATGACCTTCATTGCTGCAGGCATCGTGAAAGGAACAAAGTGCACGAAGCAAGAACTGTCGGAATCAAATGCAGCTTGAGCCGGACCAGCTTCCATCTCTTTGCGTCAAGTCAAGCAACCATGAAAAGGGTTTAGAATCTGGATCAAAGTCAGAATGAATTTACTTTTTCAGATTTTTGGATGACATTTCCTAACCTGTCATAACTCATAACTTACATCACCTTTCGCTTTTTTTTATTTCAGGCTCTGCATTTACAGTTTGTCCAACTTCTCCAAGTTCTCCAGTTCTCTCCTCCACTGGATGAGGTGACGGTTGCGCTGCAGCTGGCGGGTCAGTGCCTGGCGGGTCCAAAGAGTGCCTACATCGAGGCACTGAACACCCTGTGATCTTCAGACGTTTGCTGAAGTTTTCCAGAAAAAGACACATGTTTTTCAAAGTTTGACAAAAAAATAGCAGTCCGAACCGTTTGACTTCCGTTTCCCATTTGGGACATCTGATTGGTCGAATTCTGGTCCCACTTGTCGGAAGTCATCGAAACATGGCACCCAAATGCACAAATGGCTTAAAAGATCTTCAAAGTGTCTCGAAACTATGAATCATTCAACATTCGTTCATGTTCAATGAGTGTCATGCACCACACTTGATTCCAGAGAGTAGTTTAAGCAACCGACTAATTTATCAGGTTTCAGACTAAGTCCGAGGGGCCTTTGGCTACCAGATCTACAAGATACCTGCAACCCCACCGAATCAAGTCGACAGGTTTCACACTTTTGTTTCCAACCAAGCGAACTGGATCCTACCCGCAGGCCCTAATCACTTTGTGACAGGAATCAAAAAGCGGGAGTGCTAATCAGCTCATCCTTGTTGAATGCACTTCAAGCATCTTCAAGCTATGACATGCCTTAAGGATCAGCAAAAGATATCAACTTTCCGGATCTTCTGGAGGATTTGCCTGAAGAAATTTCTCGGCTTCTTCTTCGCACAGTTGGATGCCCGGCCACTGCTCTGGTGTGTGCCTCAGCATCAGACCTTTCCACCGTCGACACTCCAAATTTAGAAAGCCAAACCGATTGGACGTTTGCTCTTCAGGAAGGTTCGGATGGATCCGATTGAAATAGTTTCTTTCGACGGCGCGTGCCAGAACCGGATGCACTCGTGGATCATAATCACGGTCCATGGAGTCCGTGCGGTTGCAGCGCGGGGCAGCAGTGTTCTTACATGAAAGACATTCCGAAGGCCATACATGGCAACCCCTTGGGACGAGCACAAAGGCATCAGGGTTTGCTCCGGCTGCCTCTGTAATTCTGGAGAGGTTGAAGCTCCACAAAGGGGGAAGCTCTGTCAGATAGACAGCGTCTGGTCTTGTTTTCACAAAAGCTGCATAGTCTCGACGGAAACGGGGATCAAAAGTGCTCAAAATGTAATCTTGTGCAATGTCCACACGCTTGCATTGCGAAAAAAGACGTTGAGGGAAATCCTTCTCCTGCAAAAACTTGCCTTTGCTCTGAGCGATGTATTCCGGTTCATTTCCCTTGCTACACCCATGCTTCTCTGGAGGTTTGTAGATCGGTGGCATGAACTCCACATGGACAGGTTTCAGTTTTTTGATACATGGTTGCAATATGCCGGGACCTTGATACACTTGTTTCAACCTACCTGGGGTTCTTCGAGAGTCCTTATCATCCAGCGACAGAAAGAGAAAAACGTCCACTTGCCACTGCACCGATTCGGCACTCTCTGAATCTGTCGGTGGTTTTGCCAATGCATCTACAAGCCGGATCTTAATGTTGTGACATACCATGTCCCAAACGAGAGATCTTGCATGTCCGATAATCATCACAGCCGCTCGCAACGTCTTGCCATGCTCGGCACCTAAAACAATGGTGAAAGGGGGATGCCTGGGACAGCATCTGACTGTATGTTTCCAATGGTTTTCGGGATTGTTCAATGTGTGTTCCTTACCATTGATGTTTTTGGGGCCTCGAGGCAGGCTGTTTTTTTCCATGTAACTGTTGCGTGCTCCTTTTTGAGCACTTCACTCGCTGCCGTCGTTGGCATGTATGTCGCACATGCTTGCTTCTGCTCAAGGGGGGTTGGGTGGGGGCGTGTAACTAACAACGTTCCTGACGACTTTAAGACTGTTGGCCACAAGGGTCCATGTAACTTCTTGTTTTTGTTCTTGTTCTTGTTGTTGTTGTTTGTTGTGACATGTTGACATGTTGTTGACATGTTGACATGTTGACATGTTGCACACGCTCGCTCGCTTATGCTCAACAGGGGGGTGGGGGAGGGGTAATAACATTGCTGATGACTTTAACACTGTTGGCCAAAATGGCAGTTCCCTTTCCAACATCAACATCAATCCGCCGGCCTGCCGGCGTGTCTTGTGGATCTTGCTTGTTCGTAGTTGTACTGTCTGTTTTGTCTTTCTCTTTGTCTAGACTTCCCCCTGGCGCGGATTTTTGCCTCGTCTAACTTGCTCCCCCCTCCCCTCCTTCCTCCCCCCCTCCCCCCGTGCCATTGACGCTTGGCGTCTATTTTGCGGCACCACTTCTTGTGCATGTAAGCAGGGTGGAATGGGTTAAGGTGCATCGATGCATGGAGCCGTAACCTACAACTCCCTTTACATTGGATAATCTGCGTGGCTTTGCATTGTTGCGCGTATGGTTCATACTATTCACCCGGCTTCTGTTGCCCATATGCACCTCTAGCTCAGCCCCAGAACGGAAACACTAAAATAGCGGTACATCTATACCTATGGATACGATACACATATCTATTTCCTTGGAATTGTCTATGTGTTTAGTCAGCTCCATCGGCCTCGGCTTCATGCTCCAGCGCCTCCAGTGGCTCAAGGGCTCATCGGCTCCAGCGGCTCCATCGGGCTCATCGGCTCCAGCGGCTCCATCGGCCTCATCGGCTCCAGTGGCTCCATCGGCTTCATCGGCTCCAGCGGCTCCATCGGGCTCATCGTCCCCAGCGGCTCCAGCGGCCTCATCGGCCTCATTGGCTCCATCGGCCTCATCGGCTCCATCGGCCTCATCAGCTCCTGGCTTCATCAGCTCCATCGGCCTCATCGGCTCCATCCGCCTCATCACCTCCTGGCTTCATCAGCTCCATCGGCCTCATCGGCTCCATCGGCCTCATCAGCTCCCGGCTTCATCAGCTCCATCAGCCTCATCAGCTCCAGCGGCTCCAGCGGCTCCATCGGAATTATCGGCTCCAGCGGCCTCGTCGGCCATCAGCCTCATCGGCCTCATCGGCTCCAGCGGTCTCATCGGCCTCATCGGCCTCATCGACCTTATTGGCTCTCATTGGTTCCGTGACTGTTGTTTGATATTGTATTTCTTTCTGGAAAGCCCAGTACGCCCCGATGGAAGCGGAATCAGCTACGTCCATTTTGTGCCTATGCTTTGTTTTGCTGCCTTTTGATTAGTATTGGTGCATGGCGTCTTGGCTTGCGATATAGCCTCCAAGTGTCGAACATACCCTCCGCCCCTTCCTCCCCCCCCGCCCCTAGCTCTTCTTCGTTTCGCCTTCATCTTACCTTACGTTGTGGTGGGCTCGACTCTGCCCACGCCTCGCTCAACACCGGCTTGGTTTTGCACATCTTGCTGTCATTTTGATGGTTGTTTCCGTTTTTTGGTTGTGTTTGCCATCAGTTTGCTCCATCGCTTCTTATATCCAATACTTGATCCACTGGCCGAACACCTTTTACACGCCTAACCTTTCTAAATATGGCCTTTTCAAAAGCCTTTCTCAATATGGCCTTTTCCAGAGCCCTGGTTTACACACATGCTTTCGTTGAAACTTAAAGGGTGGTTTGAACAAAACCAATGTTTTTTGCGCCAAAACCGTCTTTTACACAAAGAGCTGTTTTACACAAAAACCATGTTATACACAAACACCATGTTTTACACAAAAGCCATGTTCTTGCCGGGCCTGTGCAAGGGCTGCTTGCGGCTTACAGGATGGCTCTTTCCATGGTGGCCGGCTGAACACGCCGAAGGCGGTTAAATATGTGCAGAAGTTGGGCCAACTCTTCACAACGAAGAGCAGCGGTTGAAGAAAGACAAAGCAGGGCGGAAGAAAATATGAGAGCTTTGCGCGCGAAGGCAAATGCTGATATGTCGCAAAATGTTTTCTCAATATTGACCTGATCGATGACAACAATAATTATTGTTAAAGAAGCATAAATCACTGCAAAATACAAGGTATTATGCCCATTCCTGACTCCAAACCCACAACCCCAATGATGAAAAACCGACGCCCGTGTCAAGGCGTTGTTCCCATGTTTTTCCTGTGGGGGATTTTGAGACATCCTTGTCTCTGATTTTCATTGTTGATGTCTGGATTAAATGCATTTGTTATTGCTGCTGCGTCTTTTGTGTCAGTTTCGGTTGGTGCTTGCTTCCTAATTTATTTCACGAATTAATCATCAGGTTGGGTGTCTCCACTGTTCATCGTCTTCTCCTGGGTGTTTGGAAACGGTGGTCTTGATGCTGTAGAAAAAAAAGTCTAATGGTTGTGTCTCCATCAACACTTCGTTGGTCAATGAAATGTTTTAACACTCTCAATGGTGTGCAATTGGTGTGTTCTAATACTGTCTTTCCTCCTCTTCTGTGTATAATGTTTCAGTATTTTGTGATTATATAATTTTTGATCAAAGATGTTTGTCTCTTTTGTAACAAGGTCGCGGTTCATTTCTCCATACTCTCCGTGTTGTGGTAAAGAGTGATGTTGCTTGAGGAGCAAGTCAATGGACGCAAAATCATAATCAGGATGTGTGTGTGTGTTTTCTGTGTTTCAATGTTCAACCTCGATATTGCCATATATTTTTTGTAACCCTGTTGTATCACGAATCAAACACCCCTTGAAATTCCACTGGTAGGTCGGGGGGTCTGGTTTTAGAGTCCTAAAATGCGACCCCCTAACATATTTTGTAATTCGGTCTCTATATAATCAAGACCCCCCCATGCCAAAAATGAACCTGCATTTACTGTAGAATTAGGGGGCCTGGGTACTGTTGGGCACATGGTTTTCCCCAAAGTTGGTTTTCTATAAAATCATCCCCCCTAGGTGTCTCATATTTGGTCGTGTATTTTCTATCCCTGCTCTATTTCCCAAGGCTCTAGCTGAGGTTGGGGGGTGTGATTTGATAGTGCCAAAATTTTCCGGAGGTTGGGGAGTCTACGTCGTCCCAAATATCACTAAAATCCAATGAATCTGTGGAAACTAGATTGCCGCACGGCTCCTCGGAACACATCTTCCCAAACTTTCCGCTAAAGCTAAAGAAACATTTTTCCCGAATGCGTAGCAAGGGTTCCCATTTCACTCTCGGGGTCTGGGGATTGAGGGTGTGTTCGCTCGACGTTGCGCAACCGTTCGCAACCGTTGGCAACCGTTCGCAACCGTTTCGTGGGAAAACGTCGATTTTGAAGCTACAAAGTTTGAAAATTTGAGGAAGCCTCGCACGAAATGCTGGCTTTGATGCTCCAACATGTCTGGGTCTCTGGTTTTCATGCGGCCTCGTGTCCCTGGGGGAAGATGCAAAACCTTTCATTTCGAAAGTTTCAAAGCAAGTTGTCATGTCGTTTTGCGTGGCAGGCGTGGCACTTTGTGACATTCTCCTGTGTCTGCAAGCGTGTCGAAAGGCATTTTGTGTGGCAGGCGCAATACTTTTGCGACATTTTCAGACAATGAGTTGGCATTTTGGTGGCAGGCGCGGCACTTTGGAGACCTCCATCGTCATTTTGCGTGGCAGGCGCAGCACTTTACACGTGTCGTGTTGCATGTTTTTTGGGAACCGCATTGTCAGGGCTCCACACTCTACACTCCACACTTTACACTTTATACTTGACACTCCACACTTTACACTTTACACTCCACACTCCACACTTTACACTTTACCATCCGCACTTTAAACTTTACACTCCACACTTTACACGTTATACTTGACACTCCACACTTTACATTTTACACTCCACACTCCACACTTTACACTCCACACTTTACACTCCACACTTCATACTCCACACTCTACACTCCACACTCTACACTCCACACTTTACACTTCACACTCCACACTCTACACGTTACACTCCGCACTCGACACTCTACACTCCACAATTTACACTTTAAAGTTTACATTTTACACTACACACTTTACACTTTACAATCCACACTTTATACTCCACACTCTACACTGTACACTCCAAACTTTGCACTTTACACTCCAGACTTTACACTCCACACTTTACGCTTTGCACTCCGCACTTTACACTCCACACTTTCTACTCCCCACTCTACACTCCACACTCTACACTCCACACTTTACACTTTACACTTCCACACTTTACACTTCACACATTTTACTCCACACTTTGCACTCCACCCCCTTCCGCATTCCACAGTGTACAGCGCACTGGTGCAGTAACTTGGGGAAAATGTACAAGACTGTTCAGATAACTTGTTTCACAAAAGCGTTCTACGTGACTGCATTCGGGTTCGTGGGCTGCATCTTGTTTTCTTCTACAAGACATAGCCCAGCAGCTGCTATCCCTGCTGGTGTCGAACAAGCTGCGGCAGCGTCTTGTCCGAATAATGTTGGTTGAAAATGGCTCATATGTGGATTGGAAAGGGATGAACCAAAAAACCACCCATGTGACCGTTACCATTTCTCTCATTTAAAGTCTAGGATGAGGGTTCTGATTTTCTAGGGCTAGGTTTGTTTGAAGCGGCTCGGGTGTTTGATTTTTCTAGGACGCTAGGAGGATGGATGATTTTGAGACACGTGATGTGTGTCCTTGTGGTCAGGATTTGGCTTCCTTTACTACCTTTCTGTTGTGCGATGCGTATCTCAACAAAGTGGCACATGATTCAATAATCATGGCCTGCGTTTCCTGCTCGGAAAAGGCTGCGTAACATGCCCCTGAAGTGCTAGAACTTCCAGACCACCCCCTCGTGCAAATCAATGAAATAAGCTTCGGTGGTATCCCCAACAGCCGCAACGTTTTGATTTTACAAATCTTTCTGAAGCGTGCTGCGAAGCCAAGAGCTGGAACCTTCTCCGGAACCCTGTTGAACCTGACCTGGCTGCACCAAAGCCTCCCAGAGCTTGGAACCTTCTCCGGAACCCGGTTTGGGAGGCTTTGGTGCAGATCCAGGCCAGATTCAACAGGGTTCCCGAGAAGCTTCCGGAGAAAGTTCCGGGAGGCTTTTTGGTGCAGACGGACCCCTGTTGAACCTGACCTGGCTCTGCACCAAAGCCTCCCAGACCTTCTCCGGAACCTCCTCCGGAACCCTGTTGAACGTGACCTGGCTCTGCACCAAAGCCTCCTCCGGCGGAACCTTCGGAACCTTCTCCGGAACCTCGTTGAATCTGACCCGGCGCCTGCACCAGTTCACACCGGAGCTTTTCTGGGCTGAGGACACCATTAGCCTGCGCTGTTGGGGAAAAAAAACATATTTTTTGACAACACATTGGGCTACACGTTTTCCAAAGTATGAAATCTGTCATCCCTGGGGTCAGGTCTTCTTTAGACTTTGAAATCCCTTTTTTAAACAAGCTGAAACTATAGTTAAGTGGTTCTGTCCATATGCATTCCCATTCTCTATAAAATCGGGCGTTGACAGTAACACCAAATACTCTATAAAATCAAAGCTCCCAATGTCCTGATAAAATCCGAAATGTTTCCAAAAAGGAACTCTCGGGATCTCTATAGGATCAGAACCCACAGGGTGCATCAGGGCTACCCGCTCCATAAAATCAGGGCCCCCCCCCAGTCTAGAACTCCCCAACCCCCCCCAAAAAAAAACTGTCTAACAACATGCTTTTGGAGACCCCCCGAGGGGTCTGATTTTCGAGAGGAAACTAAATTGTTGCATCGTTTTTCCGTACGTTTCACCCTTCGAGCGGGAGACGCGGATTTCTGTGATTGGGGCACGCAGGTTTCAGTGATTGGGGAATCGAAGTCCTTGAACACTGCTGGGGAAAGAGAGGATTCACATGTGGCATGAAAAACAAGAGCAACAACGCCTTATCTAAACCAAACATCAACACATTGGCATGACATGAAAAACAAGATGTCTCACAGAAACCCCTCAAAATAAAAGGGAATAATATTGAACATCAAAAAACAAAACAACCAGCATACAAACATAGAATCCCCAGAAACCGAGTTGCCTGCAACGTTGGCAACGGTATCGTCTGACATCTTTGTAATTGAGTTGCCAGCACCGTTTCCAACAGTCACGTTGCCTCCTGTGGACTTTCTTGAGTTGCCACTATGGTTGGCCATAGTGACACTGCCTCCTTTCGATTCTTCGGCCGAAAACGTTTCTGACGTCATTGCTGGCTTCTGTGTGCTTGAGTTGCCTGCACGGTTGGCCATAGTGACATGAAACGCCAAGAAGGTCAAGCACACGAGTCCGACCAGACTCACTAGTGCGACCCGGCTCACCATCAGTGCTATAGTGCTACTTCTAGGTTCTACCCGGTTCGTAGTTGCTGTTTCGAAATTCTGAAGCTGTTGGATCGGGAAAAAACAAGCGCCTTGTTTTTGCCATCCATAGTTTTGGTCTTAAACTTGCCAATGCTATCTGGGTACTCCCGCTGATTCATTATTTCTGCCTGTGTACCCATCTTTTGTTGTCATGTGCCTGCAGGGTTGTGGAAATGCCCCTGATAAATCATTCAGGGATGATCATCGCAAGACACCCAAAATGGGATCTAGCCGGTAACTGGTTCCTACGGGGACTTCAATAGTCTGAGTCCTTTAAAAACCTGCGCGCACAGAAAAAGAGCACCGCCTGTAGGTCACTTGGTGGGTGGCGTCTATCTCAAAAGCATTCAAAAATGCAAGAATTGGTCAAAAGCATTGGCACAGTTCCGGGTGGTAAACTACCATACCAAAAATCTCACCAAATTTGTGGGCTTTACAAGTTCAGCAGCTGTTTCTGCTTCAATGGATTTAATATGCTTCAACAACTGATTCAATTCCTCACACCTGAGGCAGGCGAGAACCAGACTCTCCACCTTCAAGGTCAATGGAGTTAATGAAGCGGAATGAATGATACCGGAACCCAGATGAACCCGGTATGTGTCAACATGAATTCACTGCAATGATATGTCTCGATATGTCTCGATGACTATCCCTTGACGATGATATCGTTGAACGATTGGATGCTCTATGGCTGTCGATCTGCCAATTCCAAACCACGAGAATAATAACTGTTGGAAAGTTTCATCAGCTCTGCAGTTGTAGGAACGTCGTCGGCACGTCTGGGGTGCTAACGCTGGTGGGTTGTTTGATGGAGACCTCCACAGGACTGCAATGCTTCAATCTCCTATTTCCGGCACTTTCCAGACACAAGGGAAGACTGAAACATGGCTCTGCTTGCAAGAAAGGGAAAGGAAATGAACATTGCACTGGCGGGGGCACTACCATGATGGGCATTTCAACCATGCAAATTGTCAGAAGTCTATCTCGTTTTCTTGAAGTCAACCCGCAAGTACTCAGTTTCAACTACAACATGTTCTTTTTACATGCCACACATTACTATGCATTGCCACGCATTGCTATGCATTGCCATGTAGCTATGTTTGGCAGCTCAGATCCCAACGTGGAAAGTACTGCTTGCACTGGAGACCTCAGGATACTCCGACCATTCGCAGTTTTTCTTCAGACAATTTTGATATAGCAAATGTTCATAAATTTCATAAATGTTCATATTTCACCTGTCTTCTTTTTCTGCAAATGGCCGGTAAAATGGTCGACGCTGCGGCCGGCCACGCCCAGCCATGCTGCCAAAACACGTTGGCTTCGGAGTCTCACCAGACGAGCTCTCCTTCGAGTCTCCATTGAGAATTGAGAAGAGTGCTACTCTATGGCATAGACTCTATGCTGCCTATGCTACTCTAGTCCTCACAAGTGATTGTTACCGATTGCTACTAATGATGGTTACTACTGATTGGTACTGAAGATTATTTCTAGTGATTGTTTTTCACAGAACCCAGGGTCCAAAAACCACTGTGAAAACTGAATCTTCGGTCCTCTTGCACGGATGCTTCCTGGCCACAGTGAGCTCATCAAAACATCAAAAGTCCGATCCAAGCATGACGATGCCATGCATCAACTGTGGACCATGCATTCCTTATACCCTCAAACGTACCAACCTCCAGCCTCCAACCTATCCTTCAACGTTGAAATTCGCAAAGTTGCTATTCGTGCCTTCTCTTCTGCAGGTTGCTGCTCTGAGAACCACCTCACAAAGGAAAGATTCGACTGAACACCTCGAAATACCTCGAATATCATCAACGGAGTTCGATCCGAAGATTCAGGGAAGATTCAGGAACATGCAATCAGCTGGACTGTGCCTGAACGATGGGAACCAGGAGCTTTGCGCCTGGCAGTGACCCGGCAAATTATGTCCAATGCTATGCGTTTCTCGTCTTTTCTCATGTGCATTTATGCCATCTGCTTCGACTTCAGATTTTGATGGGAAGTGTGAAATATGTAACATGCTGGTATGTCACGCAGTGATATGAATCCAGATTTCAAATGTCACATTCTTTCAAATTCACACATTTCCATACGTTTCTTTTGTCTAAGAGTTTCTTAAACTATGGAAAATCATGCATAGTCATATTACATGTACATACACATACCATATGCCTTTTGCTGCGTGAATGACATGAGTTACGTTGCGCAATGACAAACCACGAAGCGCAGCCTTTTCCGCCGCCGCCGGCACCGCCGGCACCGCGGCCGCAGACGGGGGCGGCTCCGGCCTGGCGCAGAAACTGAAACTATTGAAACGTTAGAGAAATGAAAAGTATAATAGATCTATGTATGTATGTGTATATATATATGATGTGTGTATTCAGTATATCGACTGAAAGAATGTCAAGCATTGTCAGTATATCATATTGCTGAGATATCGTCAGTATGGTGACCTTTCTCAGTGCTGCAGGCAATTTTCACACCATGATGGAAGCATCGGAGGTATCCCTCACAGTGTTGCTTACAGTGTTGCTCACCGTGTCCAGCAAGCAATTTACGAAGTCCATGGATGCATCTCCAACCAAAACAGCATCGAAAATTTTCAAATATTGCTCGAATTTCTCCTCTGACGGTTCACCCAAGAATGCGATCTTCAACGCAGGAGTTTCTGGCAAACCTGCTAAAGGGTTGCAATCTGAAGGCTTATCGCCCAAGAGCAGAACCTGTGTTCTTCCTTCTGCTCGAGTCATGAACTCTGGAACGAGCTTCAAAGCGTGGACCTTCTCAGGTGATGTCACACTTACTGCAGCTTCCTCTAGGCTATTCGACAACAAAACTGTATTGGATGGCAGCGGAGCGCCGGATTTCTCCAGGATTGGTACTAAAAACTCCCGAAGACCTGCAGAGACTACCAAGAATGGTACATCCCATCGATTCAGCCAGGCAAAAGTCTTCTCCAAGCAATCTCTGACACGCACATTGCTATTGGCAAGACAAGCTGGTGCAAAACGGCTGAGCTCATGCTGTGCACTTAAGTGGTGAAACGCATCGAAAAAGCGACGTGAAATCACAGCCTGTTTTGCAGGGTCGTTGTCGCTCCTTGCCAGGCGTTCTGCCGCAGTAATGCTGTTCCACTCATCAAAGTCTCGAAATGTTTGCTTCACTTCGTCCGGAAGAGACATGGCTCCATCGAAACGGCGCAACATGATGTCATGGCATTGATCTCCGGGTAGGCCATCCTTGCCGAAGTAAGTCGTCAACCTTAGGAAACACATGGAAACACTGAAACTCACCCATGGCCACAACTCAAAAAGATGGGTCAAAGTGCCCAAGTAAGAAATGAATAGAAATGAAGTGTTTGCCGCGATTTTTGGTGTATCAGTGTTGCTCTGTTGCTGCCACGGCAAATTCTCGTTGTCGCATTGGGAGACATCATAAGTGCAATCCACTTGGTCCACGGTTTGTTTTGCACATCCTTTTTGCAACAGGTGGTTTGGATGGTTTGGTGATAACCATCAAGCTGGTCCAAGCAGCGTCTGATCAAAGTCGGTGATAACCATCAACTGCTCGGGTCCAGCTTGACATAGCTTCATCACCATATTGTCAAAGCCAGCGCTGAAGCGTGAACCGACTGGAGCAGCAGCCATCAAATGTGCTAACTGTAGAGGGCTCATGGCTCCGAGAAAACGCACAGCGAAACTCGCACAGAACTTGATATCAACCCTAGCTCATGATCAGAAAGGCTCTCTCATGCGAGCGGAGCTTCAGTGTCCTTGTTGCAAGTGTTGCTATGTTCTGTTGGGCGTGTCATTTCCTGCGCATGTGTCATACATTACAACAGCTCGGGCCAGTGCAGTGACAGGGTAGCTTCACACTCACTATGGTTTGCGAGAATATCTGCCCTACGGAGCAGTCGTTGAGTCGTTGAGTCGTTGAGTCTGGTGAGTGAAATCTCGGATTCTGTGGCAAAATCAGCATGTTGTTTGATGTTGTTTGTTAATGTCCAGGAAATTCGCTTGTTTGTTTTCGTTTCAAACTCCTATCTTGTCATAAGCTCATAAGTTCTTGGAGCTTACTAGGTCTTCGAATCTTGAACCATGTTTGGCCTCAACAATACTTGAACTGCGACACTATTCCAGCGAACGAGTTGGGCCCCATCTTCCCTTTCAGCCACTTTTGCTCCAGCCACCCAAAGCATGCCTTGGCTTTCTCCTCAGGTGGTTGATTGGATTCACTTTGCAGGGCTTTCAACAGCCGGCGAAGAACTTCAAACTGCGACTTGCAACAAAGCCATACAAACATATACAAATCATACACAAACCATACAAAGCAACAAGCACTGCAAGATTGCTGCAAGATCTTTGCCTCCAGGAGAGCCACGAGGAGCTTTCCGCTTGAGCACCTCATGAAACTGACAAGGGATTGACAATCTTTCAGTTGTCGTATCGCAGCCTGGCGACCTAGTGGCTTGATGAAGGTGCTGTCTGTTGATAAGTACGTTTTGAGTACGGTTTGAGTAGCCAGGCTTTGTCTCTGGGAGGTGTCCCTCTGGGAGACCTCCCTCTCTCCGAAGCGTGATGGGAGGAGCCAAGCTAGCCTGGCATTCAGTGGCACAAGTTGACCGGAGAAACCCAGTTGACAAAACAATTATGGAAACAACTTGTAGAATCTTGTAGACGACTTGTGAAACAAAGGCAAACCACGTCTTGACTCAAGCTGCGTCATGCGCGTACCAGCTCTTTTCAGGTTCAGGTTCAGGTCCTCAAATTTGGCAGCAGTAGGCAAAGGCTTCTCTTTGACACGATGAAAGGTGCAACATGGTGCAACAAAAATTTTGAAAAATCAGAAACCAAATGAGACCAAAAGCAAAAATGAAGAATAATCCCTTGAGGGATTAGCTAAGCGAGGACTCTCTGGACAAAAGCTGAGGTCGAGTGCTCTTTCGCATCTCTGGAGGAGGGTGCTCTTCGTATCTTGCAGCAGATCAAGTTGTTGACAGCAACACTACTGGATTGATGCAACCTTCTTGCTTTCCAATTGTTTCCGTAAATCTCAAGACTACAGATTTTTTTTGTTTTGTCTTTGTTCCCGTTTGTCTTTGGACAAAGTGGTGGGAAGGTACTGAATTCAGGCTGAAAGAGTGACTCTTTCCAGATGTAGTTGGTTTGCCAATTCATGTTCCATTGTCAAATCACTTTCTGGTTTTGCATTTCTGTTCATCTTGTATGATAACAAATCATTTAATCCAATTTTCCGTCCCTTTTCTCGGGTTCGTCTCGCTGTTTCTGTCCCCCTCTATGCCTGGGCTGAAGCCAAGTTCCCACAGATGGCATGAAACGGAAGTCATCCTGCGGTGTGAATCCAAAACAGAAACTCTTTGCACAATGGACATTCAGAATCATTGACCGAATATGATCGAATCCAAGTGCAAACTGTGTTGGTGTTCAAGTCCAGCCTGTGGGAAGGCTTCAGTCTCCTGACAGCAATTGATTCCAATCCAGAAGCAAATACAATTTTAAACTAGTGAGCCCAGTGAGCCTGGTGAGCCCCTTCACATCCAATCTGAAATTTCATGATATGTTTATGTATTCATATAGATTATATGTATATATATATATGTTCGAAGGAAGTTTAGAAGTCAAACTTCCGACAATATGGACAGATGAAAAGAGGCAGAGAGAAGAGAAAGATTAGAAGAGAGAAGATCAGAGAAGAGAAAGAGTCACAAGAAAGAAGTTCCAGGTGCGCGAAAAGGTAGGAAAGTCGCGAAACACTGTGTTTTTCCAATGATTTGTGGCTCCGGAAGGTCGAAAAGTAGGCTCGCTAAAGCGGCGGGTGCGGAGCCAGCTGGCCAGCTGAGAGATGAAAAATTGCACACCGTTGAGGCGCGAAGCACATTTCCAAATCAAAATGTGCAAAACACCTCAGCTTCAGAGCACCTTTAGAAGTTGCGATGTCGAAAAAGTGCGCACCGTTGTGGCGCGAAGAACATGTCGAAGTCAAAATGTACAAAAAACACCAGGTTCGGAGCACTTTTAGAAGTTGCGATGTCGAAAAAGTGCACGCCGTTGTGGCGCGAAGCACATTTCGAAGTCAAAATGTTAAAAACACCAGGGGTTCGGACACTTTTGAACGTTCAGATGTCGTTTCGCGTGGCAGGCGCAAGGGATTGTGCACCTTGTCAAAAGCGAGCAAACGGTGAGGGTTTGTAGCATTTCCAAAAACGATGGCAGGCGTGGGACATTTGAAGAGGATCTGCAAAGATGTATTTTCCGTGGCAGGCGCAGTACAAGAGACATGTTTATCAAAGATGTTAGGAGGTCCGGGCGCTGATTTCCTGAGAGGGGTTGCATTTTGGAGCATCAGATCTACTTCAGGTTTGCTGAGATAGTTTTGCGTGACCGGTGCAGCACTTCGTATGACCTGGCATCACTTTTTCGTGGCAGGCGCAGTACTTTAGACAGGTCAGGTGGACTGGAAAAATCGCAAAACGCAATGGTACGAGTTCGTCAGCTCTGCACTCAACTTTCCATTTTTGAAGGAAGTCTCGCAGAATTGCTTCGTTTTTGATGTTGCCAACTTTGAAAAATGAGGCAGTCTCGCAGAATTGCTTCGTTTTTGACGTTGGGAAGTCTCGCTGAGTTGCTGCGTTTTTGATGTTGTCAAGTTAAAGAAATTCAGGAAGTCTCGTAGAATAGCTTCGTTTTCAAGTGTGCAGATAGACAGATAGATAGACAGACAGACAGACAGAGAGAAAGATAGATAGATAGATAGACAGATAGATACAGATAGATAGATAAATAGATAGATCGATCGATCGGTAGATTGATAGATAGATAGATCGATAGATAGATCGATAGATAGATCGATAGATAGATAGATAGGTAGGTAGGTAGTCAGAGAAAGAGAGAGGAAGAGAGGGAAAGAGAGAGAAAGAGAGGAGACCTCAACCACCTTTCGGTCCATCAGTGGCTTCGCTCTGCCATCCGTGATTCACAACAACCAACCTCTCCTATAGGTGTCCTATTTCTGAAACTTCCGCCACCGCCTTGCGCGGTACTACTGGTATTAATTGTTATTTTACTGTTCTTATTATTATTATTACCCGTAGTCCCGCACAAGGTGGTGGCGGAAGTTTCAGAAATAGGACACCTATGGGAGAGGTTGGTTGTTGTGAATCACGGATGGCAGAGCGAATCCACTGATGGACTGAAAGGTGATTGGAGTTGTGTTTGTTGGAATGGATGCAATGGTTGCAGCGGACCTCACCCGCAACTGCTGGATGTAGTGTGGCGTAGTGCAGCTGTAGCTGTAGCTGTAGTGTAGTGGAGTTGTAGTTGTGGTGTAGTGTAATTAGTGTAGCGTAGTTGCAGTTTCATTTGCGGTGGTGTAATGAGTGTAATGGAATGTAATGTAGGGTACTGTAGTGTAGTCTAGTGTAGTGTAGTGTAGAGTAGCGTAGCTATAGTTGTAGCTGTAGTTGTAGCTGTAGTTGTAGTTAGTGTAGTGTAGTCTAGTGCGGTGCGGTGTGGTGTAGCGTAGTCTAGTGTAATGTAATTAGTGTAGTGTAGTGTAGCATAGTGGAGTGTGGTTGTAGTTGTAGTTGGAGTTGTTGGTGTAGTTGTAGTTGTAGTTGTAGTTGTAGCCGTAGGTGTAGTGTAGTGAAGTGCAGTGAAATGTAGTGTAGTGTAGTGTGGCGTAGTGTAATGTAATTAGTGTTTAGTACAGTGTAGAACCTAGCTGTGGTTGTAGTTGTAGTTGCAGTGTAGTGTGGTGTAATTGAGTGTAGTGTAGTGAAGTGAAGGGGAGTGTACTGTAGTGTGGTGTAATTAGTATAGCATGGTGTAATGAAATGTAGTGTAGTTGTAGTTGGAGTTGTAGTTGTAGTTGTAGTTAGTGCCGTGTAGTGTAGTGTAGTCTAGTCTAGTCTGGTGTGGTGTGGTGTAGTGTAGCGTAGTGTAGAGTAGTGTTTTGTAGTGTGGTTGTTGTAGTTGTAATTGTAATTGTAGTGTCGTGGAGTGTAGTGTAGTGAGTGTAGCGTAGTGTAGCGTACCGTAGCGTAGAGTAGTGTAGTGTAGTGCAGTGCAGTGCAGTGTAGCGTAGTGTAGCGGTTGTAGTTGAAACTGGCACAAAACTTGAACGTTTTGCTCACTTTTGACAAAATGCACAATCCCCTGCGCCTGCCAGGCAAAACGACATCTGAAACGTCCAAAAGTGCTTCGAACCTCTCAGTTTTTTCCACGTTTGACTCCCACGTGTGCTTCGCACCACAACGGCGTGCACTTTTTTCGACATCTCAACTTCCAAAAGTGGTCCAAGACCGTCAGTTTTTAACACGTTTGACTTCGAAATGTGCTTCGCGCCAAAACGGCGTACACTTTTTCGACATCTCAACTTGCAAAAGCGCTCCGAAGCTGAGGTGCTTCGTACATTTTGACTTCCAAATGTGCTTCGCGCCACAACGGCGTGCAACTTTTCATCTCTTATCTGAACAGATGGCTCCGCACCCGCCGCTTTAGCGAGTCTACTTTTCGACCATCCGGAGCCACAAATCATAGGAACAACACAGTGTTTCGCAACTTTTCTACCTTTTCGCGCACCTGCATCTTCTTTCTTGTGACTCTTTCTCTTCTCTGATCTTCTCTCTTCTGCTCTTCTCTTCTCTGACTCTTCCCATCTCTGCTTTCCATCTGTCCATATTGTCGGAAGTTTGACTTCTAAACTTCCTTCGATCATGATTGTCATTATTGTTATTATTACTATTATTATATTATTATTATTATTACTATTATTATTATTATGTAATGTTTCTATATTATCTTGTTCTTTCATTGTGTCTGAATCAAATGCGATGTCTCCGCTCCACACCTTGGCTTCGCAAAGTGCGATGGGAGCCCTGTTGGAGCTCTCACCTTGGGGCCATTTGAACCACTTGAACGACTTGAATCCAAGATTTCGGTAATTCTGCACTTCCAAGCCTATCTCGTTCAAAACTGCAGGGAATCTGCTGAACTTCACACAAAGTCCAAGGGCGTGCTAACTTCCCTGTTGGAATCGATTGGAATGGGTTGGAATGGCATGTTCCACGAGCCTTCCACTTCTGCCACTTCTGCCACTTCTGCCACTTCATCCACCTCATGGTCTTGTGCACCTTCGGGACACTGAGTGGAAAGCCATGGACAGAAACACAACTATAAGTAACTACAACTCTGAACTGTTGGAGATCACCATGAGATGTTCAAAAAGACATATGTTTTGCATATATGTTGCACACATTACATCACATTACATCACATTACATCACATTACATCACATTACATCACATTACATCACATTACATCACATTACATCACATTACACGTCCCATATATTATTTATCGTTTCTTTATTATTTCTTCATCATACGAATCATACATCTACATTTATCTGCACGGTGCAGTGATGCAGTGATGCAGTGACATGGCCACGGTGGCCACGGTGGCCACGGTGGCCACGGTGGCCACGGTGGCCACTGGCGAAATCTCAGAGTCTCCGAGATTCTCAGCCCATCTCAGCTGAGAAAGTGATCTGAAACCTTTTTAACGATAAGAAAACCTCAAAAAACTGTTTACAGAACCTGTATGAAAAAATATAATATTTGCAAATGTGTTTTTCTTCGCAAAATAAACATTGCTGAGATCACGTGTGATCTCTGATCCATGCGATGGCCAGAGTGTTGTAGCAACTGAAGCCAAGCCCAAAACATGAAATTTCTCTAAATTTCCCTCTCCAAAAGAACCATGACCCAAAGGGTCCCCCTCTCCATAAAATGAGACATCCGGCTCCTCTGAAACCAAAAACAGACAAAGTTCATCAAATTTTGTTCTACTGAAATGTTCGGGAAAAGGTTTAGGGGACCCGGGCTGTACCGAATTCCAATATGTTCAACAATTTTCAACAATAGTTTTTTTTTAAGTTCAACAGCATGTCCAACACTGACTCGAACATAACGGCATAGCATCGAACGGCATCGAATTCCAATGGCAGGCAGCTTGTTGGAGCGGCACCTTCTGCCATGTCCAGCATGTCCAGCTCTTCGAAGCCTTCTTCGAAGCCTTCCAATTGTGACAGAGCACTTCTTGGAGAACGGAAACGTTGAAACGTTGAGGCAAGACATGGCAAGACAATGAAAGTGTGTGTTTCTAAGTGTGTGTGCGTGAACTTAGAACGAGGTGTCGGCGGGAATTTCTTACATTGGATGCTGTGCCTCTGTGCAATTCCGTGCCCCCTGTAGTACATCTTGGACCGAAATTCATTCACTCCATTCGTTGGTTCATCAATGTTCATCATGGTTCATCTTCCCGGCCTTGGCCTTCAGCTTCAGCATCCGGCCAGGGGATTCGGCAAGGCCTGTCACGGCGGCAGATTCTGCATCGATCATCGATCTGCATCGGTGCTGCATTGCGCATTGGCTGCCTTGGCATAAGCCAACTGCCCACCGAAGGTCTGTACTTAAAGGCCAAGTCCTGCAAGGCCAAATCAAACGACCATAAAACTCTTGTATGTTTTTTGTAAATCAAACTCATGTGTTCTTCATGTTCTTCTACTTTCTTTTCGCGACTTTCGGAGAAAGAGGTCAAGTCAGCTCTTCAACAGATTGATTCATTTCTTGGTAATTCTTGGTTTCTTGGTGTTGCGCATTTTGTTGCCTTTCTTCGGTTTCATGAGTTTCCTTTTGTTTCCTTCGGTTTCATGCAAGCTTTGTCCTCTCTCTCGACATCTCTGTGCACTTCACATGGCCTCAACTTGGCAATTTCGAGACCCTTTACTGACAGGGACACGGACATGGTCCATGGAGTCATGGAGTCATGGAGTATGCGGGACGAAACTGAGCTCTTTGCCCACTATGCCCACTTTGCCCCTCCAAAATTTCATCCTGACAGATTCCGGAGGTGGAAATGAGATTTGACTCGACGCAGGTAGCAAGGCCGCAAGGCCTCCACCGCAGGAGCTTCCAGTGCCTCCCAAGGTATTCATGGTGATTTATGGGTGATTTATGGGTGATTTATGGTGATTCACGATTCAGAGTGTCGTGGTGTAAGACAAAGCGTGACATATCCTGTGTCTCCGACGTGTTTTCATCTGGTTTCATCTCTTTTCTGTCATGTGTTTTCTGGTCATGCTGGGTTTATGTCGGAATGCTCGAGACGCTGAGGTGCTTACCGCCAGTGAAGGCGAAGATGGCACAGAGAGAACCTGCCGCACCGACGACGAATTCGATTCAACTTTCGGTCCCAGGCAAACCTCACAGGTCAGATATTGTAACATGGTTGAGGATACATTTAGAACTATTTAGATATTTGAGACAAGAAGACCTTGCCCAAAAAAACGCGTAGCACAGCGTAGCTGGAAATTCAATGGCTCCTCAAGATCTGCCTTAGTCCGTCCCCAGAAGCTCCAGCGGCCAGGGTCTGCGCTGGCTTCACCCTGTGCCTCGCAGAGAATGTGGACAGCCGAGTTCATAGTTGAAGTAGTCAGGAAGTATTTGGATGCTTGCAACGTGTTTCAACATCTTTCAACATGTTTCAATCCTAAGTCTTTTTGAGAAACAAGATGAAACAAGTATTTGCCCGGCGCCTGGAGTCGCTCAAGTGCCATGGCATGGCAGCGCAGCAGTTCCGTCGCAGGTAGAGAGACGCGGAGTCGCTGCAGCCGCGCCTGGCAGAAACAATCAGAAACTAAAAAATGCTATAAATCAGAAATAAATCAGAAGCTTACAAAAAATGTTCTCCAACAATCAGCTATAAATAGCTAAATAGCTACGAGATGCTACGAGTATAAGAAGAGAACGTGAGAAAACTAATTAGAACTAGTTGTACATAACGAATCGATACTAATCGTAACTATTCGGATCCAATAGAGGAAGAAAAAGAGAATGGTAGAAAGAGAACCAATAGAGAACGAACCAAACAAAGCGAGAGCATCGGAAGAGAACCAACGAAACTTGATACGAGTGATACCAAGTTCTCTAAAGAGATATCGGGAGTGTAGTTCTCTAAAGTTCTCCAAATAGCAGGAACTACACAGAGCATCCGAGAGTTACACAGAGAACTGACGAGAACTGACCTGCTCGTGCTCCGGCAGCTGGACGGAACGACTCTTCACCACCAGAGTGCAGTATTCCGCCTGCTCTTCACAAAGTGGACACGTGGAAACACGTGGAAACACGTGGAAACACGTGGAAACACGTGGAAAGCCTGTAGCCGAAGTCGAGAGAGGTTCTCTTCCGTGAGCAGCTGAATGAAACGACTTGCCTCAGGACAGTCAAGCACTTTTGCTGCTGTCTGCTTGTGCTTACAGCATCTTACAACATCGTACAACAAGCCACCCAATTTACTCAGTCTAGTTGCCTGTGACATTGCCTTACTCACCACTTCAGTCACTTCAGCCTACTTTCACTCCCTTCACTTCCTTCAGATTAATTTCCTTCACTTCAACGTTTTCTCCAAGGAGAAGGTGCCTTGGCAGGTGCTCGTACATTCGCTTTTGCTGCACGAATGCAGCGAAATGCGTAGCGCCACCACCTCATCTTGTGAGACAACTCCAGTAAAACAACATGTTTTAGGATGTTTTAGGTAACACCAGTCATGGCCTGTGGTACCCAAAAAAGTCACCAAGAACATTCCGTGACTTGTCGATGAGACCTACGGACTTGATCCAAACTGAGGCTCCTTGCAGCAAGCTGTTGCCATGTACATGTACCACTGGACGGTACGGCCAGTAGCTTTGGATCCAGTGGCGGGTAACTTCCTCGCAGGCGTTGCTTCTGTGGAACGTCCAGATTTCTTATTTCTTACATCTATACAGTCTATACAGTCTATACATATTATCCATATCTCACATATTCTCAGACTCATATCACATATCCTTCAATGTCTCACATAATTGCGGTGCCTGAAACGCAAAGTACTCTGAGACCAGCGACATGATGCCGCAGACGCCTGTGCAAAATGGAAAACGATGTGACAGCTTCCAAAACATTCCAAAACTGCACATCTTCAGAAACTGAGCCCAGATAAATCGAAACCGTGTGATGTTGTACTGACGGAATATCAGCGAAGCAGTTCCCTCCCGTTGTGCCTCGATAGCTGGCAGACGAGACCAGAACCTGCAAACTCTTCCGAGCTCCCGAGCTGTCACGGCTTCGAAATCACCACGGCAGTTAGCACGACATGCCCGACATGCCCGACATGTCACACGACTTCGCCCTCACCTTGATGGGCTCCAGCTCGCACTGCAAATCGAAGCGCGGCTCTTCGCTTTTTTCAGACACGTCCAAGGCCTGGCAATTCATGTGGAGATTGGAACAGTTCATCTTTTGCAGATTCAACATGAATTGGGATTGGGATTGCCATTTCAGGCTTTGGATGCTTTTGGGATCTTTGGGGAACAAAAGAAATGCCACATTCGCGAACTTTGCCAAGTGCCAGCGCCTGTGTGAGCTTCAACTGCCCGCTGCAGGGTGGAAGCAGGTAGACGATGCGGCCCTGCTTCAGCTGAATCTCCTCAAATATATGCAGCAAATATGAAGAAAATGCTCACGTCGTGTTGAACGTCGAAAATTGCAAGGGACAGCAAGTGACCATGGTGATACAAACGTGGTACTCCCGCACTAGTTCTCATGGATCTGCCCGCCTTTGGCCAATCTAGAAAGCATCGCCGGATTGCCTGCCATCGGTCAACTGGGGCCAAGTATCAAGTATCATCAAGTATCGTCAAATGTCATGCCGTCTCATCCAGTGTCTATGGGAACTGGAATTGGCAGGCAGGCTGAAACTGAAACTGACACTAATTGGATCATATTGGATCATATTGGATGATATTGGATATTGGATCTAATTGGCAAATGACTGCCATTTTTGAGTCCAAAATCGCCATCTTCGTCCGACGTCCGAGGAGCCCACATCTGTTTCCTCACTTCGAGCAGCCCACCCTGGCAGCCCACAGGTGCACAGAAGAATCACGAATCATCGAAAGAGTGATCCGAGTGATCTTTGATTACTTTATTGAACTTTATTGAAAACTTTAGTGAATATGTTGTGTGAATTGTATTGAATTGTATTGAGTTGTATGTTGTGATATGCTTTGCTGGAGACCTATCAGAACTCGTGTGGCAAGCTGGATCTGGCGGATCTGCCGGATCTGGCGGATCTGGGCATTGCCTGGTGGCTCATGGTAGCAGCTTAAATTCCTGCATCAAATCTTTGTGCCATTTGTGCCAACAGGAACTTGAAAAGCGTTTGAAGTTCTGTTTCTTGGCATTTCTTGGCCTCAAAGAGTTTGTCAAAGTTTCTATCAGTTTCTATCAGTCCTTAGCTGCAGTAACTTGAAAAGTTCACTGCGCTCCGAGCGCTCGATGAAGCTTGGCTGCCAGTCAGAGCCTGGCACACCGAGGGTCCGGACCCAACGGCCAGTTCGTTGTTCTCACAGCAGTTCCATGATGTTCCACACAGAATCCACGTGTAAAAAGGTCGATGTCCAAAAGAATACGGCTGTTAAATTACACGTGTAATTTTTGCAGATGCATCTTCTCCAATGAAAATGTACATTGACCAGTCACCACCAGAATCAAAGATCAGAAACGTGAAGAAACATGATGCGTGATACGGAAGAAACAAACGAAACAAACGAAACAATCTCCCGGCTCTCCGATGCTCTCCGATGCTCTCTGCGCTGCCTGTGCTCTGGACCTCCAAGGACGCCAGGTGCAAACCACCCGAAACCGGTGGACCGCCAGCAGCAGGAGAGTCATCCTGTCACAGTCATCCTGTCGATAGAACTTGATATAACTATATAATATAATTCAACGTTAAATTCAGAACACAGAAATTTAAAAAAAAAAACAACAGAACAACACTTTAAGTGATGTGACTGCTATAGATGCAGGTGGTGGCCCTGGCTGTGCATTTGAAACACATGAAACACATCCACATTTCAAACATTTCAATGATATTCTGATTAGACTGACTGCGATTTCGAGTTTGCATGCGCAGTCCTGGAAGCGAATGTGCAAATCTCGGAGTTGCAGCTCTAAATTGTCGCTGATGCGCGTGACCAGTCGGCCCAAGTAGCCTTCCATCCAAAAACAAGTGGAAGACATTGAAGACATGACAAATTGCGTGGCTAAAAAACAAAAAAACACTTTAAAACACTTTAAAACCAAAACAAAAAATGTTGTTTTCATGATTTCTCCCTGGATTCGGGGCTGATTCGGTGCAGACCTGGCCTTCCTTGCGGTCGTCCGGCGAAGCCTCGAGGCCAAAGAGCAGGTCTGCACGGTCCACCAGCCGCTGCCTAGCGACTCGGTCGACGGAAACGGGACAACAACGACATGGGAAATTCACGTTGAAAAAACCATATCAAATTGGAAAAAATATATGGAAAAAATAATAGTTATTTATGTATCTATTTATCTATCTACATATTTATCGATTTATTATTATTACCATTATTGTTATTGTTACTATTATATCATTATCAGTGTCATTGTCAGTATCGTCATGATTATCATGTTTTGTTATTATTGTTATTGGTACTACTATTATTATTGCTATATATATATACATGTTATATATATATATATATATTAGCTAAACTCAAAAACTCGCTGCCGTGGATATGTTGAAAACCGCACGAAGAGTTAGCGGGGGGGCGAACGTAGGGGCGAACATGCGGGCGAACGGGTGGACGAACGTCGCCCGCACGAGCGAGCGGGGGGGCGAGCGGGGGGGGCGAGCGGACGGGCGAACGATTCGACTAGTCTTGTTTTGCCTGGTGATAATTAGTACAGTCAACCTGTGCCGAAATTATTTTACACCTACTTATACAACCCAAGAATACTGGTACAAAGGTGTTGGTATTCGAAACCCGTGCAATTTTGAGGGCGGGCCCACCCCCTTGAGGGCGCATTAAGGGGTCGCACGAAGGGGTCGCACATACGCATGTACGCACGTACGTACGCATGCACGCACGCTCGTTCATGTGCATGTACGCACGCACGTTCACATGCATGTTCAGAAATAAGGTTACCTTTAAGGTTACCTTTTATATAAAAGGTAACCTTATTTCTGTACGACCCTAAGCCTCCTAAAGCATATTTAGTATTAGGAGGTCACTTTTCAAAGGTAACCTTATTTCTGAACATGGGTCTGAACATGGGCTTGAACATGGGTCTGAACATGGTACCTACGTACGTGCATACGTGCGAACGTACGTGCGTACGTCTGTGCGTACGTATGTGCGTACGTGTGTGCATGTGTGCGTTCGCCCCCCCGTTCGCCCCCCGGTTCGTCCCCCCGTTCGCCCCCCCGTTCCCCCCCCGTTCGCCCGCCGTACCCTCGCTCAGATGGCCGTACGCCCCCCCACGTTCAATACGTCTAAATAACTTCAAAAACAGGCCGCAGCGACCTTTTGGGTTTAGCTATATATATATATATTTTTATTTTTGTGTTTGGTGATGTTGGGTGAACATGTAGATGCATTCACCAAATGAACTGCGCACATCACTCTTGTTTTGACCGCGGGGAATTGCACTTCGGTTCAACTGTTGTCTCGCGTCTCGGACGGAGAGGCTAGGAGAACTTCAAGGTTCAGAATTTGGGGAATCATCGACGTCTTCGATCGCCGGCAAACATTGATGAGTTCGAAGATGTTGCTGCAACTGCTGGACGATGGATAAATTCAGAACCAGTTTGGTGAATTGCAGTTGATGAATGGCAGCTTCGAGATGAGCTAAACTGTCAATGATGGCGAGCCGGACTGGTCGATGGCCACTTGGCGTGTCATCCAGAATGGATGTCAGATTGGTAACTTGGTCTTGCAAACGTGACTGCAAGCATTCAGTGAGGATTAATGGCGCCAAAATCTGTTGCAATGAAGACATTGGCATGGCGACACATACAGAAAAGGAACGAATCGAGATGGATGAAGGGACACTTGTCCCGCTGAAGCCAATCACGTGATTGGATGAACGTAGGGTGGGAAGAGAACGTAGTGAAAAGAGGTGGGACGAAAAATTCGTTGGATGAAATTGGGGCTCACTTGAGCCACTTGACATTGGCACCGACACTCGTGATGTGTTCATCAAACTATGCATCTTCATGTCCACTTACCTTTCAAATGAAAGGTGACTCAACATCCCCTTGTCAAAAATAATATTGCATCAACAAGTTGAGTTACATCTTATTTTTGTGTTTGGTGATGTTGGGTGAACATGTAGATGCATTCACCAAATGAACTGCGCACATCACTCTTGTTTTGACCGCGGGGAATTGCACTTCGGTTCAACTGTTGTCTCGCGTCTCTCCCCCAGGCACATGAGACGACTTTGCATGTTCTTCTTCAGTGCACATCATCCAACATTTCAGCAGGTCGACCTCTGTGGTCTTCACCCCTGCGTATTCAAACATTTTCGCCCTTGAAAGTTCGTCAGCCGGGTTGGACTGTGACGGTACCCGTTCGATCCAGGTAACTAGTCCCAGCTTCTCTTCTGTTGAACACACTGCACGAACTATAAGGTTCATATGGCGATTGTCCGATTTGCATTTGATAATGCAGGACTGCGCACTCTGGTTGTCGGTGAAGAAGACAACTCTTCTACCTTTGGCGAAGTCACTGAAGGTATGCAAGGCCGCAAAAATTGCTAGGCCTTCCAACTCAAAAATCACCGTTTTCTGTGTTTCTCTCTTGAGCTTCGCCACCACTGCAGGAGGCACCTCTTCGCTGAAACAACCCAGGCATTGACCGGTATGGTCCAGAATCAAGCCCCCTACCCCTGAATACCCATCGGGATCAAAGGAAGCGTCGACATAGATGTGTACCCAATCCAGAAAGTTCACATCGACTTGTCTGGGGGCATTCTCTGTCAGGAGTTCCACCATGAGTTCCAACGATTCTCGGAGCTCCTCGGACACCATACGGAAGCTTCTGGACACGTGGGTGTTCAACTCTTTCAAGCAATTTCGGAATCGACGACCAAAGAGGTGATTGGAGGCAAATTGTAGCCTGCCTCGCAGTCGTTCTCCTTCGGCTCGTGGCAGAGCCCCGGCCGAGAGGATCCCTCTCAAGCAGGAGACCAATTCGTCCCGACGGGCTTCAGTGTTTTTGACTTCAAGTAAGCCCGATGGGCTCTTGGTGAGGTTGACTTCGACCCCTAACACTTTGCAGCACTGAGAGTACGGAACAAGCTTATCCGTGGACAACTTCCAGCCTAAAAGTTGGAACAATGTAGACACGCAAAGTTCGGTGTGTTTGTCCAGACAGGCCGGGGTGATGCTCAGGAAGTCGTCGAAGTAAGAAGTCCATGCCAACTTCAGTAGGCTGCTTCCCACATGCCATATTCCAAGGGCACACCTGAGAAAGGCAGTGACCGACGCTATTGATCCGAAAGGGAGCACCGCTTGCCTGTAAATCTCAGGGATCCCTGTCAGGGGATTGAAGATCACTATGTAAGAGTCCGTCTCGTAGGCATCATCGGACAACGGAATCTGCTTGTAGGCGGCTGCCAAGTCCCAGCACTTTGAGACCAACTGCATGCGACGTCCGTTCTTGCGGGCTGCAGTCATCAGAGCAGCGCCCAAGCATGCTATGTGATCAATCCCATGAAGGGTAACGACCTCGACTTGTGTGACGGCTGAGTTCACAAGACTGGCCTTGTAATCATCTATTGGTCTCACCTTGTCCTTCTGCATCACTCCAAAACGCCGAGTCAAGGTGGCTCCACTTGGGATGGAGGCGGCGTCAATCGGCCCGTGGAGGAAGCCCAGTTCCTTCTCCTTCAAGGTCGCATTCAAAACGCCCTCATCGACCAGGCGGTCACCTGAGCTCTTGACCGTCGCCAACAGTGCACCACGCGCCCTATCGGCGACTCCTCTCAATGCTGTGGTTGGCAAGGCTGCAGGCCGAAACTTCTGGCTGAAGTGGTTGGAGGCAGGCAACTTACCAGTGAGGTCGAAGCCATTGCACATGTCTTCGATGAGCGATGCATCTCTCGATCCCGCCTCGGCTAGCAACTCTCCAAAAAGCAGCAACCGTTTGTTTTCAAGAACTTTCCGGCGCCTGGTCGACATATTCTGCTTGAGGGTCTTTTCTTCTCCAGCTAGTTGGGATGACCTGGCGATCATTCTACGTAACACCTCTGACCTGTGTTGTGCGACTGCTTGAGGTGACTGTTCAGTGATGAAGGCAACGGCCTCCTTCATGGCGCTTGGCAGCTCGTCTGCAATCTGTCCAGGATGTCCAGACGCGATGGCTTGTTCTACAAACTCTTTTGGACTTCTGTGGATCCCAATGATTTTGTACCCTACCCTCGCGATATCCCCCAAGGTGGGAGTGGTAAGGAGTCTCGCATTGGACGGCACAGGGTCATGTGCCGGAATTTGGGTTGTTTGGGAAAACTCACTGACCCACGGTAAGCCTCTGGCGGAGTGCTGCACTTGGATCTGGTGGCGAATGGAGTCGATTTCCTTGGCATGCTTAGCAAAAGTGGGAGTAGGGCAAACAACTCCGTGGTTCTGCAGGTGCAAAGCAACCATCGTGGCCAACTTTCTGGCTAGGGGCCAGGGGTATGCAGTTTCTTGGGCAGTGGCCCAGCCGTTTTCTGTGTGCCCCCATGGTTCATGGGAGTGCTGATTGTCGCACAACAACTCCATGCACTTTACGGAAGCGATATTATGGACCAGACAGGTATATTTGCGTCTGGCGGAACCGTACATGCAGTGATGGAAATGCGTACGGTAATGAGGCACTTCTTTGAGGAAAGCTGCAAAGTGAGTTGTGTTCCACATGAAACTTCGTGCTGGGTTCTCAACTGAATAAAGCACTCCATGATCATGGCATAGGCGGCACAGATGCTGGGTAATCTCATAGAGTTTGTTGGCTGCTGCCACTTTTGCTGCATGAGTGGGGCTCAAATTGGCTAGCCCGTTGGGGAAAGCATCTGTTCGAAGAACCGGTGGGTTGTACCGGCCTTTACGTTTGATAAACCTTGCTCTGCTCGCTGTGCCGCAAGGTGGTGCAAAATGAACATAAATGCATGCTGTCTCCTGAATGATTTGCTTTAAGAAAGCTAGGCATTCTGGCTGTAGTAGGTCTAATTGCAAAACTGGTGCAGCTAAATGGTCTGACAAAATATGGTCGATGCCAAACGCATCGCGTAAACCAAGTTGCCGCAGAGAGGCGGTGAGTCTTCCGGTACCGGCAAAAACTTCAACTGCAAACAGCTGAATGGCATGCTTGTTGGCACACTTGGCTGACAACTTTGCTTCGAAAGCGGCAAATGCTGCTGATGCCATCTG